GCGGCAGTGTCAACTTTTGGCAGTTTTTACAGATGATTTGGTCTCAGTTCTCCTGAGTTTCAGTTGTTCAAAGCGCTTTGAGGAATTATTTTTCTTGAGACTGAAGATTCATTGTAGATCTTTGGGCAAGAATTCATTTTCAATCTCTACTTAATTAATCTCCTTATTAGTAAATGAAAATGACATTTGGTGAAGCCTGTGCTCGCTCTCAGGGGGAATGTTGGATCTCTGTGGATTCTAAAGTAAGATATACAATTTCACTTCTATGGTTTATGTTATTTATTACGTACACATGATATCTATGAGGTCTTTCCTTTTTCTGATGGTAGAGTCCAAGGAAAGAGGATGTTGTACAAGCTGTAAAGCCCTATGAATTTGTGATAATGGGCTATAACTAAAATAAATTATGATCGAGACCTGCTCTGTATGAAAAGTGTCTCGGGGAAGCTTCTGGTATGATTTGATGCTATCTCAATATCAGAAAATTGCTTTTTTTTTCATTTGAACTCCAGAGAATCCGGTCCGTAGATTGTCCGGAGTTTCTCTTTCACACATGTTGCCGTTTTCAGAAGACTGTCCGTGTCAGACGCATTCTCACCCACTGGACATACTTGCTGGTTTAGCCGAGAGCTGGAGGCCGGACATGACGCAATCTCACAGTGGTCACGGTGCCGGTTTTTCTAATTTTGTAAATTGAACTTCCTTTTCACTCTCGGATGTTTGTTTTCTTCCGGTTGTACTCCAGTCACCTGACAGAAACGTCATCAACACTCCCACTTACTCACCTTGAATTCTCTGGACAATGACCGGCTCTATTCACACATTGGACATTGCATAGACTTTGTACCAATTCAAATCAATTCAATTTATTTTGTATTGCCCAAAATCCCAAAATAATTTATTAAATGAATATCATGCTGTATTGAAGAAGACTTGAAACTAGAGATTGAGACCATAAACTCATGTTTACAATGTTTACTGAGGTAATAAATCAAGAGAGAAGTAGAGTCATTTTGTCAAAGATTTCTATACAACCAGAGGAGTCGCCCCCTGGTGGTCACTACAGAGAATGCAGCTTTAACACATGAAGCATCGGCTTTACTCAGCAGAACCAGAGGTTGCTGCTATGGTCCAACTGATTTGGCTCCTCCCGGTAATGTCTAGATAAATTCAGGTTTGCGTGTGTGAAAGGGATTCAGGCCCAACACCTCCTACTCTTTGTTGTAGTAAAACAACGTCACACTACTAACTACATTTCTACTAAAACACGAGTGATTTCCTGCAGATTACAGACACTGTTTGCGTGCTTGTCCTGATTGGCGAACTCACTTATCCGCAGAATCGCTTCAACAAGAGTTATGGCAGGTGACAGAGACCTTTTAACAACCAGCCACCTTTAAACCCTCCCTGACCCATGAGGGGGGGGGGTGTCACTGAATATCAGCCTGATTGGTATTCCAGCAGCGAAGGAAGCATTCATCCTCCTCCTCCTCCTCAGCCAGGACTGATATTCCTCCATGTCACACATCATCATAAATACATTGTGATGAGGTCACTGCATACTCGTGCATGTCTCTCACACACACACACACACACACACACACAGACAAACAACACGTTGCTCCATGTCTAGTCCGCTGTAGCTCAAACAGACAGCCCAGATGTTGCAGAGACACAGCGTACGGCGTGCTACAGTAATTAGCATGCCTGTGCAGTGAGCTGCAGTATTGATATGCAGTCCATGTCTTCATAAAGTATTCTGTTTGGTCTCGCTGGCTTTGGCTCGCTACTTTGCTGGGAATCATTTCTCTCTCCGCTGGTTTCTTCATCCCTCCACTTTGTATCTGTTTGAATCTGTTCTGAGTGTTTCTCAGCCTTTAAAATCATGTTTAGTTCACTATTAGTCAGCGTTATTGGCATGAATGGATGGAAGAGACACGACATGAATAGAAGAGCACAAACTGTCCCCAAAACATCTCTTTTAGTATGTTGCATTTGGGATAAAAAGTCATAGAGCTATAGGGACAAAAATATGCAGATATCAAACGGTACAAAAGGACTTAGACACTAAGTTAGGTTAGGGTGCTATTTTAAAAAGTGTTAAAATCACTAGCTTAACTCTAGTTAATGTAATTTAAAGTCGTGAATTTTGCTTAAAAGTCTTATTTTTCAGTCTAAATTAGGAGGACATACCCCCTAAAAAACATAGTTTTTTCATGCACTGGTTCTGCTTCCATAAGACGACTTCTTTCACACTCGTGGAAAATACATTCAGGTGATTATTTTATCCATCATACTCTTTTCGTGCTTGTTTTTCACGGTTTATTGGGAGCAAATCCCTGCAGCCAAGTTCCAAACATCTGGCGGAAAGACTGAAAGCAGACGAGTGGAGGCTGTTGGAGCGGCACGTTGGTGCCCATTGTTTGGGAATGACATGTTCAACTATCGCATATGGCTGTGACCACTTTATGTGCTACACCTGTACAAACCTCGTGCAGTCCAGGGCGACTGCTCTGCCATAAAGTCCACTTTTACGACGCCTGTTAAAGTTCAGTTCTTGTTGACTCTGTCATAGAGGTGTTATTTTATTTATAAGTTTTAGCATTTAGGTCATAGTTGGTGTACTTGACTGGGTTATATTCAGAGGTGTTTCTTATATTCTGCCCCCTTCATGCATCTAATTAGAGAAGATAAGAACTCTAAACACCTCGCAAAGTTGTCATTAGAAAACATGCACCGAATGCCGACAGTGTGAATTAAATTCCTTCTTTGTTTTCAAAATGAGACATTTTTAAATGCTCTAATCTCCTTTCATCATTTGGAAAAGGTCTTTTTGTAAAGACATCATCAGTGGATTCAATGATGACGGAGTAGTCTCTTTCATAGACATGAGCAGCCCTTCAAAATAAAAGCATTCAAGTGCAACTTGCCCCGCTGCGCTTTTCGCTGCGGGAACCGTCGTGCTGTGAAGCACCGGTGGGCTGAAGTAGTTTGATCCCCTTTAACTTCTGGTCCTTGACTTTAAGCAGCGGAGCTCCCGGAGGGAAGCTGAGAGGACATAAGTAAATAATAATCATCCAAAATGGCGACCTCTCTCTGCGTCCATCTTTGACGTTAATACTTTCACTCACACTCTTCCCTCTACTTATCTTTTGTTAATACATAAATGCATACATAATTAAACAGGGCCATGTAATGAGGCTCGTCTTGTCTTTGATTGACCTTTTTTCATGTTCTTTGCTAACCGAGCTTGTGCTTCCTCAAGCTGCTAATCGTCCAAATATTGTCACCTCTGGTTCAAAAAAACAAACAAGATGGCAACGGCCAAAATACCGAACTCAAGGCTTCAAAACGGGAGTTGACCAACCAACAGGTGACGTCACGTTGACTATGTCCACTTCATACATATACAGTCCAATTGAAGACATTTTCAACCCTCATTAGCTCTGTGGTTGTTGTTCTACACCCGAACATGACCTCTGACCTCCACGGATCAATTAAGCTGCAGTTAGAGAGAGTTTCTCTAAATGTCCAAAGCCCTTAATGGCACAACTTGCCCACGGTAAACATGTCAATATAAGATCAGTCTTTACTTGCTCATGATTTAAATTGATTGATAACTCAGTCTGGATGCAAAGTGAGGCAGCAGGCTGCACGAACACGCCTCCCTTTTTATATTCAACACGTGTCTTTCTACCTCGCATCATTTCATGCTCCGACCACTCAAAGTGAAGACTCCCCCGGGCGAAGCAGTAAACACCGTTTGATGTTTGCCGAACAGCAGCTGAGCCTCTTGAAAGGGGTAAATGGGAAAATTTGGAGGCAATGTTGAGAGCTTTGAAACATCAGGCGCACCAGATAGGCCCCAACACAATCTGCATGTAGCACAAAATACGAGGGAGTGACGATTTAAAAGACGGATGTTATGGTTGTGGGTGTTGATGGAAATGGAGTCATTGTTTTTCCTCGGAGAAAGGCAGGTGTCCCAGTACGGGGTGGTGGGTGGATTGAGAGTTGTGGTGCTGGTTCTGGTGAATTTCCTCTGTATATTTGTGAAGTGTGTGAGATCACCGAGGCCCAAACATTATTTCCTGAAAGTTTCTTTGCAGGAAGTCTTTGAATTTCCACATGCTAACTCCCCGCAGTGCTGCACGTTTCCATTCAGCAGTTAGTTTATGAATGCTGCCTGTAATAAATGCTTTGATAGACATGTCCATTAGAGAGAAGCATTCAGTATTTATAAGTCTGAGAATTAATAACTATATCCAGAGGGTTACGCTTTAACTTAGCTGCAAACTAAAGTCGCTTTTAGTTGCTGCAAGTTATTAACTTCAATATTTTACTCCTACTTACTGAGCATAAGACACCCGTCGGTTTACATTCATTAGCACAACATCTCACATTGTCTTTGCCCTCAGACTAGTTTGATGAAGAGTTTGTCTTAAACTTTCCCAACAAGCAGAGTACCACTAAAGGCTAGCTGAGGCTCATTATCTTCTTTTTTTTAAACACTTACAGTTCAACTGGCACTTCAGCTGTTTTCAGCTTGTACACTTTGACTTAAACACCTCAACTGCTTTCATTTCAGTATTTTCCTGTCAACTGACAGTTCAACTAGCACATCAAGTGCTTTCTGCACCTACACTTCAACTGACACCTCAACTGTTTTCAGAATTTTTATGCAAACATTTTTTGGTACTTACACTGCAACTGACACTTTTACTCTTCCACTGACACCTCAACTGCTTTCAGCTCTTACACTTCAAAAATCACCTCAACTGTTTCAAAAATTACAGTTCAACTGAAAATTCTGCTAATTTCAGGGCTTACACTTCAACTCCTTTCAGTGCCTCAACTTCAGCTGATACTTTAAATTAATTTATCTAAGCTGTCGAACTGGTCCTGACTGTAAGAGTCCCCATTCAAAATGTTTTCCCAGCAGGATGTGTGGGGGTGCTGTGGAACTAACCAGGCCTTCCTTCCCTTGTCTCACATCCCAGAGAACCACTCTGCCCCTCCAGATGTCACCGGCTACACCAACAACACCACCGACGGGATCCAGGTGGAGAGAGGCCCGGGCACCGGCACCGCGACCCAGAGGCAGACGCCCAAGTACGGCAACGCCGAGCTGATGGAGACCGGAGACGGTGAGCCGGGAGTCTGGGGAGTTTTTAATAACAAAAACAAAAAGATGCGTCGGCTTCCAGGATTTCCTTTGTCATGCCTTAAAACATTGCATTAACACAAAATTCTATATTTTTTGGGGGGTGACATATACAAATATGCAATTCACAAATCTGAAGAGGCAGCAGGTTGCTTTAAAGCGGAGAGGTTTGAAGCCTGAAGCAGGAGTGCTGTTAAATTCAATGCATAGTTCAATGCACTGAATTGTAAACAGCAGTTGTTGGGAAGAGTTCATATCATTTTTATTTTAATTAAGAAGTTCAATGACATATAGAACAATAAAACACCTGACCTTTAGCCTTTGGGTGCCTTGAAGATCTGTATTATAGCTTAATATCCAAAAACCGGTCATTTTTTGTGGGGGATTTCTGTGTTCAGATGAAACCAGGAGACGTGAGTCTTATATCAAGCATCAGGCAGTGGTGGAGCAGGACTCAGATTATTTACTGAAGTACAAGTAGTATGGTTTAAACATGCTCTGTTTGAAGTACAAAGTACCACAATCAAAGTCGTACTTAAAGCACCAAATACTTGAGTAAATGTCCGTAGCTACATTCCAGCAGTGGAAGCGGGTCTTGAAAGACTTGTTTTGTATCCAGTCTTTCTTCTGTTCTGAAGGGATGAAGCTCGCCTCCTCTTTACTTCAGCTCCTTCCTCCTGTGCTGGTGACCTCTCGGTGAGCTGGTGACCGGAGGACTTCTGAGTCACCAGCTGTTGTGTTTGTGCTCTGTGGTCTGTCATGTGATTAACATCTATGTGCTGAGTGTGTTTTTAATATCTGGGGAAACATGAAAGCTTCAAAGTTAATAGTCTGACTGGGAGAAAGAGTCACCGAGGGGCTTTAAAACTCGACGGACCTCCAGCTGCTCCAATCCACTGTTCATGTTTTATTATTTTTTTCATGTGAAGGAAGTTGTTCAAACTTAGAATAACTTTTTGTAGTTGTCGGGTCACGTGAACTTTAAAAAGGAAAGTTTTCAAAGAAAACATTTGTACCAGCTTGTTTTTAATGATGGTCTTTCCCAACGTACAGAATTCATTGTTCCTCTTTATTTTTCGTTGTGAATTGAGGCAGAGGCATGTCCACGCATGCTCGTATTTACTTAAAACTCATTTTGCATCGAGTATTAAACACACACGTGTTGACGCTGTTTGTTTCACCAGCAAAGATCTCTTCACCCCGGCTTGATGGAGACAAACACGAATAAGAATAAACTCCTGACTGTTACCTCCAGGATGTTTTCAGTACGCTGAGGAATAATCGTTTTCTCATCCAGTCTGCCCCCAAACCAAGTCAGCCAAAACATCTATTCGCTTCCAGATCTCTCCACTTCCATCCCGCCGGTCCGTCCTAAAGCTCCACAGTTGGGTTTAAAATCAGCCTTAATGAAAGAGCAATCTGTGCCTCATCTCGCATGCTGTTTTCGAGTGTCATGTTCAGTTGATTGCTCACTCGAGCGGGAAAAAAACGTGGCAATTTAATGTAGAACTTCCGTGGATGTTTCATCAGCGACGAAGCAGCAGCAGCTACTTCAACACGTGCACCTGCGAGAGCACAATTAGGAGTTTAATACAGGATGTATGTTTGTGTGTGTATGTGTGTGTGTGTGTGTGTGTGTGTGTGTGTGTGTGTGTGTGTGTGTGT